TAGAAAATGAAATGAGCTCAAAAAGTCTGTCTAATCTTCTCACATGATTTTCTTTTCACATTATTTTGACCAATTATGTGATATTGGAATATTTCCCAAGGCACACTAAACAACATCTCAAGGCACACTAATGTACCGCGGCACACTGGTTGAAAAACTCTGAGATAGACAGTATGATGTGCAGACTATTATGAAGCTTAGAAGTTAAGTACCAGTGCCTTTTTTTCCACATTTTACCCTAAAATGCATTGACTTTATACAGCCAAAAAACCACGCAGAGTAATATCTCAAGGCTCCAGGGCGAAAATCAGTGCAATCCCTGGGTCATGGAGGTGGACTGACCGTGCAATCCCTGGATCCCCCCTCGGACAGGGCTTTCTGCAGCTCTGCCTTCAGGTTGTCCCGCTCCATGCGAAGCTCCTCCAGGGACAAGTTGTATTTATTCACCAGCGTCTCAAACATCTCCAGGACTCGGACTATCCTGAACTGCAGGTCCGACACCTCCTCTCCAGACCCACTGATCTTCAGCAGGTCCCGGCCGATCACGTAGGAAATATCGTACACATCCTCCACGGTCAGATCGAAAGCGTCCTTCTGAAAAGCCACCGCGGGCGACGTCTCCTCTCCAAACTCCATGACGCGGACAAAAAAAATCAACAAATGAATTAAATAAAATAAAAATAAAAATCAAGGAAATGGCTTTGTTAACGTTTGTAATCTGTCAAAAGTGTCCGGTGTTCTGTCGCGGACGGGAAAGTTTCAGAACAGCACTTCCCCCATCACTGACCACGTGACCGCGCTTCACGAGAGGAGGGCAAAGTATCCTAGCGACAGGTGAGCGGGGTGCCAGGTTTGCACAAAATCCGCAAGACAGTCACTCACATTGTCTTCAGCCGTTGTAAAACTTCTCGTTGAGCGACTGTTGCTATGAAAGCTATGAAATGTGCTATTTAAACACATTCTCCTTCAACCCACACAATTTTCAATAGATAACATGTCCAGGCATAGATTGATTGGATGATATTCTCTCAAATGTTGTTCTTTGTTTCATAATTTTGGGACAGCTTTGTGCTTTTACAGGTGTCTGGACTTGGAGTGAAAGGGCGCCCCCCAGTGGAGTTCCCTGGTTCGAGTCTTTCCTTTTCCAAACATGTCCAAAGACGACTGTTTATTTTATTCCCCAATAATAAAAAGTAATTGGTTCTAAATGTGTCTTAATATTTATAAATGACTAAATATAACATGTGTGGAATGCAGTTTAACAGACCCCAGCTAAATGGAGGCTGTAATTTCACAAATTGTTATTTTTTTTATTGTTCACATTATTCAGTCAATGTGAACAGCAGAAAAACCTGTTATTTTATCTTTTGAGAATTAATTGTAATTCCAGTCTGTGGCCACACGAGGGCGCTTCTCAAACTCTCGTGGTCATACCATGGATGTATTATAATGCCTACAGGTGGGTCTACACTAAACACGTGCAGCTTTGATTATATATTGATTACATACACAGTTAAATCACTTAGAAGCATCACCAGTCTTTTTAAAGCACAGACATTTGGACTAAAAGTAATGAGTAAAAGTAGAAAGAGGTCCAGTGTAAATGGCATGACTTTTCACCAAACACATGTGACATTTAAGAATATTTTAAGTAACGAATTATTCCGTTACACAAAATTACTCGGCTCGGTCTATTCCTAGTGTGCTGTCACCACTTCTATAACTCTGCCCTAACTATGTCAAATTTAACAACTCACATAATCTTTTGTGTGCCCTTGAAGGACCAAACTGGACTGACAACATTCGCCATGTCTTTAAACAAGTGGTGCACGAAGAGCAGCAGAGACACAGGAGGCAAGAGGACTCAGGTCTACTCTTGTTAGGATACTTTGTTTATTCTTCTGAAAGCACACAAACTCAAAAACACAAAAATAATTCACTTTATTATTATTTTTTCACAATACCCTCAAACATCTACATTTAAAAACACATGCAGGACTAAAGTGACAATAGCATGTCAGCACTATTGTTCAAAGTGCTGTTCTTTGGGGGGGAAGAAGACACGATCAATAAACCTGTTTTTTTAAACAACTGAACACAATATTCATTCTCCAGTTAAAACAAAACAAGAACATTTAAAACGTATAAAAAATATATAATCGTGATCTTGTCCATGTGCATTTGTGCTTAAAATAATAAATAGTGTTAAAAGGTTAGCTGATGGAAACCAGTCTTCTTATGGGCATCAGGGTGGGGTCATCAGAGATCAGACCAGCTGCCACCATGGGCATGATGGCCGTGAAGATCCTACACACACACACACACACACGCACACATACATACATACATACATACACACACGTACATACACACACATACACACACAAACACATCTGTCAACACCAAAAAAGCATTTGAATTTAAACTAAAATACCACCATTCTGTATTGTTTACTGATTTTTTAGAGGGTAAATGACTGCATATTAAAGGGGCTATACCTAATATTTTACCATCTTAACATATAGTCCAAGTTTACGCAAGTAGTTGTGGATGCATAGACTGTAGAACAAGTGGACTAACTGACCCATATGGTTTTCCTAATGCGGAAAATGCAGATTGAAGCCAACTCAAACTGGCTCCAAGAGTGGGAATGTGCTGCCAAATGACATAGCAACAACCTAGCAACCAAAGAGCCAATCAGGAGTGGTGTTAGTCCAGCTCTGGTTCTCCCAGTCTTGCACAGAAGGCAGGACCAGAGTAACACACGAGTTATGATCATATATAACTCATGTATATACATATTGTATACGTTATGACCAAACAGGGCGCTACTGATCAGAGCGGAGAAAAGGATTTAAAAGTTTAAAATGTTTAGAATGACAAGGGACACTAAAATCCACACGAGATCTGACCTTTGAGGCCCATTGTGATAGCATCGACTTTTAACTCAAAGGAGAGGTGGGAAGCTCTGTGAAAGTGGAGGTTACATTATAAAAGAGAATTAAGCAGGCGGACGATGCTTTAGTTTAGCTTTAGCTCAGCAATAGACCCGCAAGTGGCTCAAGAGCTGCTTATACATTATATCTGCACATTAAAGAGCCTCTACCTGACTTTTATACAGTGACTTACAGTTTGCGTATGCCGGACTCGGGCTCCTCCTCCTCAGCAGCAGCAGCAGCAGAGTCTGTGTTATCCTCGTATGGACCACACACACTCTCACTGTAGTCCTCGTCACTCTCCCTGCAGCACACAGCAGAACCGGGGCTCTGTGATCTTCAGGATGCAGTTTTTCGTTCAATATTTTTGGATCATGTAGATCATGTAGCACTTATTCTTTGGGGGGGTAAAGCTTTCAATGAATAACACATTAAGGTCTGGCCCGGGGGTTTGCAAACTTACACCAAACTTACAGCTGCAGCTTTGAGAATTTTACAAGTTTATCTTAGAATAAACTGTAATGTTATCATAAAAAAACTATTGTGCAGATTAGAGAAACTATGAAACTGGCCTTGAATATCTGGCATTTACGTGTTTGGTATTAATCTCAATGCAACTCGTTTGATGAATGGAGCTTTGAGATTCGGTGGATTACATAAGTGGCCCCAAATGTTTGATCGTCCGTGCATGTACATACTGTTTGTAGTAGGCCAGCTCCTCCTGCAGCACAAACACCTGGGCCTTGAGCTGGTTCTTCTCATACAGGACGTCCCTCAGCTCCTGGAGGGTGAAGTGTGGGGCCTCTGACTCGGACCCATCACTGTCTGTGTCGTTTCCCACAGATGAGAGATCCTAACAACAAGACCATTTGTATTTAATGGAGACAGAATAAATCCACTTGATACAGCCTTTGACAGTCACTATTGTTTGCCAGTTAGTTAAGACACCTATAATTTATGTATTTATGCGTTTGTATGGACACCTGAATTCTCCTACAGGGGATAAATAAAGTATCTATCCATTTTGCCATGGTTTATATTAGCTTACATCAGAGACTCCACTGCCACTCTAAAATGCCCATAACTACTTTTCTCCTTATTTTGAGAAAAGATTAGTTGACCCGGTCATATGCACTTTAATGGAACAACTTCAGAGTATTTCAACAGAGTTTAAAGTAGCTCGTTAGAAGCTGCCTGAGGACTGTGGATTACATTACCCATGTCAAAAGGTTTGGTTGCGTCTCTTCGCAGTCCGCTTTGGGCTCTTGTTCAAAGCAGTTGGCCAAAAACTGTGGATCTCCCGCACACTCCACCCAGACCGACGAGGGCGTCTTCACTGTGGGGTCTGAACCAGCGAAGGCCTGAAGGCACAAAGGATGGAACATGGTTGTGACAATTACACGGTTCAAGTACCTCCGTCTCAGGGTTTTTCTACTCATCCATGACCTTCTATTGACGACAACTCATTAATGGGCAATAGTTTTGTTTTAAAAGGCAGAAAACTTATGTGGTACTAGGGGTGGGAACCTAAGGGTACCTCACGATACGATACGATACACAGCTCACGATAACGATATTACGATAACAATTTTATGACGATTATTGATATATTGGTCAGAAATATACAATATGCCAATTTACGGCATAAATAAAATAAAAAATACACTTTATTTCATTATAAATAGAATAGAGATACTTAATATATGGCTACATTACGCATTGATACCAATTAAAAAAAAAATGTAATGTTTTTTTTTTTTAAATCGATATTGATACTTGGCAAATGCATATTGATAATCGAATCGCAGGAGAAAGTATCGCGATATATCGAAAAATTGATATATCGTCACACCCCTATGTGGTACAATGAAATCATACTATCAAAAGACTGAGACAGGATCTTTTAAAGAGGGGGGAGTTTGTCCCAGAAGTTATTGATATTAGCGTGAATGGATCTAAAAACAACTCCAAAAAGTACATATTTTTGTATCTGCTGCAGCTTTTGTATTTAAGAAAAAAGTTGGAGCCAAAACCAACTAAATTTTATCTAACAAACTGGCAACCCAAATGGGGAGTCTTGTCAAAGTAACATTTTGTGAACAAATCAGACTACAACACACAGCCTTCATTTTATAAGAAACCATTTGATCTTGCCCATACTGAGAGCTGATTGGCTGAGAGGGCAAACCGTTTTAGAGCCAGGAACTAGTTAGACAGATGTTTCAAAGTCAGGTACTCCAGCTTTTAGCCACTGTTTTATTTTGGACAAATGTTCACAGAGCTTTTGAGATCTGAACAACCTATCATTTAATTAACAGAATAATCGGCCACTATCACTGATCCCCGTCCATCTCCTCTCCTTCCTCCTCCTGTTTAACCACACTAAGAATCTCTCCTCACCGCAGTCTCCGAGCTCACGTGTGTCTCCAGATCCTGCAGCTCTCTCTGCAGCCGGGACACCTCCCGCCGCAGCTGCCCCAGCTCCTGCGTCCGTGCCTGGGCCACAGCCTCCATCTCGGCCTTGCCCTGCACCAGAGCCTTCCCCTGGGCCTCCACCACACTGAGCCGGTGTCGCAGCTCCTGGTTCATTTTCATCACACGCTTCTGCTGCAGCTGGAGCTACCGCCACACACACAGAGGAGACCAACGTGAGAAAAGTCCCGCTGAAGCTACACACGAACACTCCAAGCACCGCCTCCTTTAACGTATTTATGTATTTTCTTAAAGTTATTTCACATTTGCAGCTTGAAACCACAAACTTGTCTATTCCATTAATGATAAAATAATAATAAAAACAGCAGAAACACAAAATACCAGCCAATAATATTCTACTGTGAAAGTCAATGTATCCTTCAAGAGTCCTTTTAAGTGTAATTCAACTTACAACGTGAAACTAAACTTTTTATATTTTTGAGCTCTGTCAATAGTTCCATGTCAGTGTTTCTCCTCATAACTTATAATGTTTTTGTAAAGTCTGGAGTTAAATTAGTGGTGTTCATTTGTTTTCCAACTAGGGATGTAAATCGGCAACCGTTTAACCGGTGGTTGACCGTCACAGCGTTAACCGGTCAAAGCTGTCGGTTAAAAAAGAGAAAAAGGGGAGAGGGGAGGTCTCTTAATAACGCTATTTTAAGCCCTATTTGCACGATGTGACGAGCGGGTCTGTATCTAGCTGTGTGCGCCCATGTATTATAAACTCCGGGACGACTCTCACGCCGCACGCGCCACATATGCACACACGCGCGCACACACACACACGCACACGCGCACATACACACACACACACACTTTCCCCCTCTCCATACGTAACATCCACACGCATCATCTCTCCCCTCTGTTACCGTCAAAGTTGCACACTGGCGCGAGTCAGAACTACATTGGAGCTTACATTTACACACACACACACATATACATACACACACACATACATACACACACACTGTGGTGACAGTTTTTGGAGTAATTACATAAAACCAGCCGCAGCAAATACACGGACGTCAAAGGCCTTTTATCAATGCAGAGACGCCCTTCTGACGCCATGCTGAGCTTTGTGAGGGCCCCCTGCTGTCTGTCACACCCTTGTGTCTTTCGTATCTTGAATCTGTATGCCTGCTTCTATCCATATGTCCCTGCTGCCAGGAAGGAGCCGGGCCCCCCCCGACACCTACAGACAATGGCGATCACTCTTGCCCCCTTTCACCTCTTGCATATGTATCGGTCTGTATGTGTGCACTCTCTACATCCTGCAGTCTGTTTGCATCCCTATGCGCCTCCTGCACCGGTGGCCCCCCTCCCATCTGTTGTGGGCGGGACTGGCTTTCGTGTGTGTCTTGTATACAGGAAGCTGGGGGCTCTGGCGCCAGAGCTGGGACATGCTGCCTTTGAGTGGATGTGCTGGCTCTCCGCACGTGCGTTAACAATAAACTTACGCTTTTGATCAGACAAAGGACCTTTGAGTTTTCTCCTTCATGGGGTATATAATTCTATAACAACACATACACACACACACACATACACACACACATACCGGTCTGTCGCGCTCCTCTGTGTCACGGAGCCCAAAGGATTTGCGCAAATACGCGGCTCCAGTCAAACCACATGGAACATGTTTGTGTTTATGGTCCTCGGGATCAGCTCCACACACATCACTTGTATTTAAACTTTTGTGAAGACCTGTGAGACGCGTCACTCGCTGCTCTGACCATGTGAACGAGCCGTCGTTTGCTGCTAGAAAGTTTTGGTATTAACCCGCAGCACAGCAGAATGGGAAGATTAAAAAAGCAGTTCTCTGTGCGCAAAGGTGCCGGAGCTGTTGCGGGTTTGGGCGCCGCTGTCTCAGCTCTGATCCAGTAGAACGCAGAGCTGCACTTATGAAAAGTACGCGGCTCGAAATGGCTGTTATTTCAAAGAACGTGGAATATTTTAAACTACGCGGTTAACCGGTTTCAACTGGTTAATGAGGCTCGGTGGTCGGTCATGAAAATTCATAGTTTTTTACATCCCTATTTCCAACTGTTGTTTTGTTTGTCATCCACAGAGACTGACATAGATGGACAATGCTATCCCACAAGCTCAAGGAAGACCAATAGTAAAGTGCTCAAGGATGAAGTTTTTCACCAACTGGCTCCGGCTCCTATTGACTGACACTGAAAAGTAACTCAGTAACTCGTCACAAACGAGTTACTGAGTTACTGATTTGGTCTTTACCATCTTAGCAACACCTCGATAATAATGCATTATATTTATACAGAGCTTTTTTGGACTCAAAGTCTCTTCACATCGTTATTGTCTCTCTCCAAATACAGTGGTGCCACAGTTGCGAGGCAACCAGTCTGTGCCATCGGCCCCTCCCACCACCAACAACCATTCACACACACACCAGACTCACTCTAGGCAATGGGGGTGAAGTGTCTTGCCTAAGGACACCACAACAGTTTGGCACTTTACAGCCGCTGCCGCCCCACTGCCCTGTTATGTTGCAAAGCTAATGACGTCAGAACAAATGCCCATATAAGGACATTGGCTCCAACTAGCTTATGTTTAAAACATCTTTTTCCACATTCAGCAAACACTGAGGTCACGTCCACGCTCTAAGCCTCTCAGGTCTCCTCGACAGCACTCGCACACAGAGCTGCAGAAGTGTCCGCGGTGCTGTCGGCCATGTTGGACTCACCGCCTCCACGTCGTCGTTCCTCAGAGAGAGTTCGTGTTCTGTGGACCGCAGCTCGTCCCTCTGTTTGTCCACCAGCTCCTTCAGCTTCTGCAGAACTTCTCGCTCCTTCTCCGGCACTCCTGCACTCACACCACACTTCATATACTCACTGTAATCCACGTTACATCAGAAACAGTCCTTTTTGACTTTTACTCATAAGTAAGTCATCTTTAAAGGAGCAATATGTAAAAATCTGGCCAAAAGTGGTACTGCAGTCACAGTCAATATTTTGTAGTCCTCTCCCACTCTCCCTGACTCAGGTTGCCAGATTCACACCAAATCCAGCAGCAAACACAGGGAATTATTTTATCAGTTGTTTGTCCGTCTCCATTCACATTGCCATGACAGCCGTGCTAATGCTGAATGAATGTTTTGAGTAATGTTTTTTTATTATTATTATTTGGACATTTGAGATAACAAAAACAAAATAAAAGCAATGCAATTATACATAGTTTATGCAAAATAAATAAGCAATTGATGTCCAAAATAGGAGTGGGAAGAATGGATGTTGGAACGTATTTCTTCAGCGTATCAACATCAGGGTTTGCTCAAGAGGATATCACCTTTCAATTTTATTTATTCCCTATTTTTTAGACAAACATGTAAAAGTCCCACATCAAAAAGAGACTAACATTATTTTAATTGGGGTACATGTGGTCTTAAATGATTATTTTTACAATTAAGCTATAATCTGAAAAAAAACGTCTTGACCTTCATCTTTTACCGTTTTTAGAGCAATCTGTCATAGAATGTGATAACATGCAATAAATACAAAAAGACATAGCCCGGGATCGAACCCGGGTTCCTGCATCGTAAGCGCCCGGTTTAGACCACTAGACCACCGATTCACTGTGAAGGACAGCCTCAAACTAGAAAATTCTGCATCACAGGTAAACTTTTATCATCCGTCTCAATTGTTCAAAGGCATCCCGATATAAATCCTCGTTTTAGTCTTTGTTTTGTCATTAATGATTTGAGAGTCATAACAAGACCTTTTTTAGTTCTGCGCCACATGTTATTTTACCACTGAGATGAATGAGCCGCGCGGAGTTCTGGCAACCCGATCACGGACTTACATGACACTTCCTGATTGGCGAAACGGCGGAGGGTAGGACATCAAAATCAAAACAATAACAACTTTTACGGGTCGTAAAACTAATTTTGATAATCAAATATCTCGGCTGAACTAATGTTATCAGTTAAAGATGAATTCGAAAAGAGTATGATTTAATAACGCCTTTTTAAATATTCGGGTCATTTAATGATGACTTGACATGCAAATATTACATATTGCTCCTTTAATTATCTAGCACACACATCACTCTCATTGTCACATATTTGACAGTAACTGTACTTTTACCGGAGTCTGGGGCTGTAGCAAGTCCATTTAAATAGTTGTCAACTAATGTAGTAATCGATTCATCATTTTCTGAACCTTACACAGACTTGTGCTGAGAAGAGGTTTTATGACTTAAATTACTTAAATGACTTGAATTAAATATAGATTTAGGATAGATTGTGTGATCTTTTGAAAACACCAGATTATAACATCATGTATTATCCTTTGTTGCTTTGCTCTAACTTATGTCCAGACAGTTTCCACTTTCCTGGACCCACCACCTCTGCAAAACAAACAAGCAAAAAGGACTCAACTTTGATTTATAATGACTTAGCATTAGCATATTTCCATCGGCTGCAAACATCATACGCTAGCAGCTAGTTTATTAATCAAATTGGATGCTGACATGTTTATGTGACTCACTTTGAGGGGCAGAGGAGTAAACGTTGCAGCAAATGAATCCTGAGCCTCCGTGGACTCGCACAGGGCTATATTTGTCTTGTGGTCTGAAATAGTTCCTTCTGCCCTGGACTCATACTGACTGCACTCAAACACAGACGTCTGCACCATTGCACAGTTAAATATGTGTAAGGATTTCAGTACAAGCATAGACTGTATATTAGAATTTTTTTGAAGTCCAAAATGGTGAGTGTGACACAAACGCTTACTGAGCGAGAGGAGTTTACTTTTCAATGTAAGGAAACAGGAGCCAGAAGGAGTTGGAGCAAAACTTTGTTCATGAGCACTTCCCTATTGGGCATCTCTATACAGTCTAAGAGTACATACCTTTACAGAGGATGAAGAGACTATGACATTATGTGGGTTTTCTACGACCTCTCAGCCCGACAAGTTTAAACAAAACTACATATACAAGTAGTACTGGTATGTTTGTAATCATTTAAAGCAAAATGCAGAAGTATTTTGTAGATTTCAATCTCATCAAACCCTTTTTCACACAATCAGTTCCTGTTGTCTCATCAAAATAAATCCAGATTTTTCTTTGAACAATCTCGCTGAATCAACCCACACTAAAAAACACAAAGTAAATATCTGTGGCCATGTCCTGCGGTGAAACGGGGATCATCAGAGCAACGGTGTCTTATGTGTGGGTCAGAGGAAGAGCGTGTGGGTCAGAGGAAGAGCGTGTGGGTCAGAGGAAGAGCGTGTGGGTCAGAGGAAGAGCGTGTGGGTCAGAGGAAGAGCGTGTGGGTCAGAGGAAGAGCGTGTGGGTCAGATGAAGAGCGTGTGGGTCAGAGGAAGAGCGTGTGGGTCAGATGAAGAGCGTGGGGGTCAGATGGAGAGTGTGTGGGTCAGAGGAAGAGCGTGGGGGTCAGAGGAAGAGCGTGTGGGTCAGAGGAAGAGCGTGTGGGTCAGAGGAAGAGCGTGTGGGTCAGATGAAGAGCGTGTGGGTCAGATGAAGAGCGTGTGGGTCAGATGAAGAGCGTGGGGGTCAGATGGAGAGTGTGTGGGTCAGAGGAAGAGCGTGTGGGTCAGATGAAGGGTGTGTGGGTCAGATGAAGGGTGTGTGGGTCAGAGGAAGAGCGTGTGGGTCAGAGGAAGAGCGTGTGGGTCAGATGGAGAGCGTGGGGGTCAGAGGAAGAGCGTGTGGGTCAGATGAAGGGTGTGTGGGTCAGATGAAGGGTGTGTGGGTCAGAGGAAGAGCGTGTGGGTCAGAGGAAGAGCGGTGTGGGTCAGATGGAGAGCGTGTGGGTCAGATGGAGAGCGTGGGGGTCAGATGGAGAGCGTGGGGGTCAGAAGAAGAGCGTGTGGGTCAGAGGAAGAGCGTGTGGGTCAGATGGAGAGCGTGGGGGTCAGAAGAAGAGCGTGTGGGTCAGATGAAGGGTGTGTGGGTCAGAGGAAGAGCGTGGGGGTCAGAGGAAGAGCGTGTGGGTCAGATGAAGAGCGTGTGGGTCAGAGGAAGAGCGTGTGGGTCAGATGAAGAGCGTGGGGGTCAGATGGAGAGTGTGTGGGTCAGAGGAAGAGCGTGGGGGTCAGAGGAAGAGCGTGTGGGTCAGAGGAAGAGCGTGTGGGTCAGAGGAAGAGCGTGTGGGTCAGATGAAGAGCGTGTGGGTCAGATGAAGAGCGTGTGGGTCAGATGAAGAGCGTGGGGGTCAGATGGAGAGTGTGTGGGTCAGAGGAAGAGCGTGTGGGTCAGATGAAGGGTGTGTGGGTCAGATGAAGGGCGTGTGGGTCAGAGGAAGAGCGTGTGGGTCAGAGGAAGAGCGTGTGGGTCAGATGGAGAGCGTGGGGGTCAGAGGAAGAGCGTGTGGGTCAGATGAAGGGTGTGTGGGTCAGATGAAGGGTGTGTGGGTCAGAGGAAGAGCGTGTGGGTCAGAGGAAGAGCGTGTGGGTCAGATGGAGAGCGTGTGGGTCAGATGGAGAGCGTGGGGGTCAGATGGAGAGCGTGGGGGTCAGAAGAAGAGCGTGTGGGTCAGAGGAAGAGCGTGTGGGTCAGATGGAGAGCGTGGGGGTCAGAAGAAGAGCGTGTGGGTCAGATGAAGGGTGTGTGGGTCAGAGGAAGAGCGTGGGGGTCAGAGGAAGAGCGTGTGTGGGTCAGAGGAAGAGCGTGGGGGTCAGAGGAAGAGCGTGTGTGGGTCAGAGGAAGAGCGTGGGGGTCAGAGGAAGAGCGTGTGGGTCAGAAGAAGAGCGTGTGGGTCAGAGGAAGAGCGTGGGGGTCAGAGGAAGAGCGTGTGTGGGTCAGAGGAAGAGCGTGGGGGTCAGAGGAAGAGCGTGTGGGTCAGAGGAAGGGTGTGTGCGTCCAATTATTCCACTTGGAGACCTATAGTCCATTTATCCCTGTACCATGTGTGCATTTACTTTGACACTATGTAACCCCTATCCCATATATATATAGTGGAATGGTAGTAACAAAAGAGTCTGTAGGCTAGGACTGAAGATCTAGAGTTCGCTCTGGGAGGTGAGTCAGTAATCAATAAACAGTGGCTCCAGTTTGCAAGTTGGTGTATTATTACATATTTACATATTTACAGTCATGACATCTCAAATTCTCAAATACAACGCTGCGCAGAATTCTTCATTTCATTCGCTCACAAGTCCAAAGAAAAACCCCAAACCCGACTCAACTTCCCAAAGTCCAAACAATAGCCAGGGCTACTGTAAAAGTGTGTCCATTGAGCTCGTATTGCTCAAGAGTTTATATGAACCAGAGTGCATGGGGGTAAAGGGCCGATCTCCTACCGCATTGGTGGGGTACTTGCAGCAGTAGTTCTTGTCTGGGCTCAGCTCGCCATCAATAGTGATTCGATTCGACTCGATATCACAGCACAGAAAAGACCTGGCCAGTTCGAGGTGAACAATCCAGCCTGTCACTCACTCGAAACGGCTCGATCGCGTAAACTACTGCTGCAGCCCTAAACGCAGCCTCCCCCATGCCTCCCTGTACAAGCGACCCGCCATCTTTAAAACCCCAAGTCACATGACCCACGTGATCCCAAACTCCCTGGAGCCGGCGCCAGACCCAATGGAAATTTGGGACCATTTAGTTTTAATAATAATAATAATTTATAAAAATACATTATATTTGATATGTGATAATATTTATATTATAAATAAAAAATATTTATATTATATTTAATGGGTTACAGGGTCCCCTCCTCGAATCCATGCACGTCCCGCTGCATGGGGGAATAAACAATATGCATCTATGAAGTTGCTGCAGAGGTCATCTATGAAGTTGCTGCAGAGGTCAGATTTAAAACTTCTGTGTAAGCATCGGCCAAACCTTGGAACAAAGTCTGTACGACTGACACTACCGGATTGCCAAAAGCTGAATACTGCAACCGGCAGGGCTGTCTACGATCACGGGTTGAGCGCCTCAATGTAACCTGGGGCTCAACATTCTCACTATCATGGGACAAGTCATCGTCTGGTGGGTCACTAGATTGAGGTAAAGTCTCTGGATTATCAGGCCTTTCATCATCAGGCATAGTTTCTCCTTCCACAGGTTGATTTACAGGTTGGTCCTCAGGAACATGGACTTGTTCAGGTAAGGGTTCAGTTCCAGGCAAGTACTCTTCCTCAAGTAATTGTTCCTCCGGTAACTTTTCTGCATCAGTTAAAAGGTTCTTCGTTTGGTATGCCTTTGGCTTCAACAGGTAAGTTCCTTGCAACCGAGGTCCTTCGGACAGTAAACGTCGCAGATGGTAAATATGGATCTCTGACAATCCCAGAACTTGCATCCTCAACAGCCTCTTCCAAATCAATTACCTCAGATGTTTCATCAGACTGCTCAGGATGTGTTTTTCTCAAGGGGACTACCGTGGGCTGTCTTGAAGACTCAGCCGAGAGGAAGCCACAGGGCAAAAGGAGATCTCTATGTAAAGTACGAAGGGGCCCATCTGGATGCTCCGGTCTCACAGTATAGACTGGAAGCTCGTTAGCCCTCTTCACCACAACATAAACTTTATCCTCCCATTTGTCCACAAGCTTGTGTTTGCCTCTTATGCGAACGTTGCGTACCAGAACACGATCACCTGGTTCCAAAACTGATGTTGTAACTTTCTGGTCAAAACGAACTTTGTTCTGCTGAGCGCTCTTTGCAGCATTTCGGGATGCAACCTGGTAACTTTCTTGTAGCCGAGACCTGAGGTTTGCCACATACTCTGAATGGGATTTTTTCTGTGGTTCTCGAACAGGCAACCCAAATGCAAGATCAACCGGTAATCTCGGAGAGCGTCCAAACATAAGTTCGTATGGGGTATAGCCAGTTACGTCATTTCGTGTGCAATTATAAGCATGTACCAATGGTTTCACATGCTCTTTCCATTTTGACTTCTGTTTATTCTCCAATGTCCCGAGCATACTCAAAAGTGTTCTATTGAACCTTTCCACTGGATTACCACGTGGATGGTAAGGTGTGGTTCGACTTTTCCTGATTCCAGTGACCTCACACAACTCTTTAATGAGGTTTGACTCAAAGTCAGCCCCTTGATCAGTATGGATTCTTTCTGGAAACCCGTAATGGACAATGACATTCTCCCATAAGCATTTTGCAACAGTGCGAGCTTTTTGATTGGGAGTGGGAAATGCCATGGAGAACTTTGTAAAATGATCGGTTATGACCAAAATGTCCTTAACATTTGATGAATCGGGTTCCAAGCTCAGAAAATCCATGCAGAGAAGCTCTAAGGGTCGAGTAGTACATATATTGACCATTGGGGCAGCTTTCTCAGGGGGTGTTTTCCTGCGAACACAGCGGGGACAGTTTTTGATCTTTGCTTCGACATCATTCGCCATTTTCGGCCAATAAAACCGTGAGCGAGCAAGATCTAAAGTTCGCTCCACCCCCAAATGCCCCATATCATCGTGAAGACTAGACAACACTTGTTTACGCAGTTCGTTTGGAAGAACTAACTGGTACAAAACTTGATTGTCACCTTGTCTGCATCTGTACAAAATGCCCTCAATCAATTCGAGTTTGGTTAACTCTCTCAACAGCAGAGAAAGCTCAGGAAGTTCTTTGCGAAAAGTAGGAGGTGGCTTATCTCCTGATTCGAGTTCATGGATTACTTCACTAATACTTGGGTCTGCTTGTTGTAGAGCTCTGATCTCCGAAGATGACATGGATGAGATGACTGGTAACCCATGGTCGAGTTCGTCTCCATATACAACCGGAACTGCATCGGCTGTGACTGCAAGGGATTCGACCAGTGTGATATTAGTCTCTACCTCGCTGTTGCTTCGCACCAAGACCCCTTGACAGATAGCTTCCACTACATCTTGAGGAACATAATGGGAGTCACCGGTGTCAATAAAGTGATGCTCCTGAAAGTTCCTGATTAAATCAACTTCCTTCTGGGAGTGAGGGGTCTCGGAAGAGAGTTCATGAGACCTTCGAGATAGTGCATCGGCATCAATGTTCTGCTTGCCTGTACGGTATTGAAGTTTAAACAAATATGTGGACAAGGCAGCAAGCCAGCGATGACTGGTAGCATCGAGCTTCGCAGACGTTAGAACATATGTAAGGGGGTTGTTGTCTGTGATGACTGTGAAGTTGGCCCCATAGAGGTAATCATGAAATTTCTCAGTTACACTCCATTTTAATGCCAAAAATTCCAGTTTATGTGCGGCATATCGAGATTCGCTATGGGACAACCCCCGGCTGGCATATGCTATTACGCGAAGTTGCCCATCCTGCTCCTGGTACAGGGCTGCCCCCAGCCCAGTTGTGCTTGCATCCGTGTGGAGGATGTAGGGCTGCTTTGGGTTGGCAAACCCGAGTACCGGCGCAGAGGTGAGCTTGTCAATGAGCGTCTCAAAAGAAAGTTGGCATTCTGGCGTCCATCGTTCGCCAAAGTTCTTCCTGGGATCATGATAATGCTCATTTCCCATTTTCCCACCATGGGTTGGACAATACCCCCGAGTAAGATTGTTAAGAGGCTTCACCAGGGCTGCGTAATGTTTAATAAATCGGCGGTAATAGCCAGAGAACCCAAGGAATGACTTCAGTTCTTTTAATGTTTTGGGAACTGGCCAGGTCTTTAAAGCACTGATCTTCTCGGGATCCGTCTCAACTCCATGCTCAGACACAATATGTCCCAAATACCGAACAGACGACTGGAAGAACTTACACTTCTCTGGAGATAGTTTGAGACCATACTCCTTTAATCTGTTAAGAACTCGTAACAATCGTCTCTCGTGCTCTTCAACACTATCGGAAAATATGATGAGATCATCCAAAAATACAAGAACTTCTTTTAAGTTCAAATCTCCCATACATCTTTCCATTACTCGCTGGAAGGTACTAGGCGCGTTTGTCACGCCTTGTGGCATCCGATTAAATTCCCAAAATCCAAGGGGTGTCACAAATGCCGTTTTCATCTTGTCCTCCTCGTTCATCTCAATTTGGTAATACCCAGACTTTAAATCAAGAACTGAGAACCATTTTGAACCGGTTAACGCAGAAAAGGTTTCCTCGAGATTTGGGAGAGCGTAAGCGTCTTTGGTGGTCTGTTGATTAAGCTTTCGGTAATCAATGCAGAGTCTAATATCACCGTTTTTCTTACGAACCACGACTATGGGTGACGAGAACGGGGACTCTGACTCTCTGATAACCCCCGCAGCCAGCAGCTCTTGCAAATGCCTTCGCACTGCCTCAACGTCGTTGGGATGTATAGGTCTGGCACGATGTTTGAACGCAGAGTTATCATGGAGCCGTATGTGATGTTTCACTTTATCTGTACAACCAAAGTCGAGGTCGTGGTGTGCAAAGACTTCTGGAAGGTTTCGAAGCTTGCTTGTGATGCGGTCCTTCCATTCTGGTGAGAGATTTGATTCACCAAAGTTGAGATGTAGCTCAAAATTCTGATTTGTGGAACAATCTGATCTCACAGTTTGCTCAGAGATTACTGCTTGGCATGCACCCAGTTCAGCAAGAACAGTGAGTGGTGGAATGAAAAGATCTTGTTCAGTGGCGTTGGCCATAATGACTGGTACTTTATAGGGCGACTGCTGAGGCAGTGTTATTAAACCAGTTTTAACAAACAACCCCCCTGGCAATGGGGATTGGGGACTTTCAACAACAGCCCATTTCCCACAAGGAGGGCAAGAAATTCTTGCTGACCCTTCAAGTGTTACAATTTGTCCTGCCGGAACGCACAGTGGTGTTTTACTGGCTAAACGGACAACACCAATAGCCCCATTCTCATTATTCTTATGCTGTAATTCCAACATCTTAAGAATAGCTTTATAGCCATTGGACTGTGGTTCAAAACTCGGGTAACTACTGTTGAGAAATTGATCATACAGCACTTCTAATGTGTTCATCCCAATCAACACGCTTGACTGTATGGATGACTGTGAATCTGGGACAACAAGAGCAACAGTGGGTATCACAAGTTCCACACCAAGAAAATCAGGGTAGAACTTCACTGTAAGCTCCACATACCCGAGATAAGGAACAGGTTGCCCTGCAACGCCCTCTATCTGAAAAAGATTATCCAATGACTTTACTTCCTGATCAGATAAACATTTGTTATAAAATGACACAGGTACTGTAGTGACCTGTGAGCCTGTATCCAATAAACAACTACAGTCTTCACCAGCAATGTTCACAAGCGTAGTGCATCTGGAGCCAATCAATCTTTTTGGGAATCTGCCAGTGATGACAGCCGACTGATTCAACTGGACCCGCTTGATCTTTGGGCTGGGACAGTGTTTGTCCATCCCAGTTCCGGTCTGTCCCTCAACCGAAACGGGTGTCAGTTTAACATTTCTGAATTGTTTGACGACTTCTCATTCTGCCATTTCTGCAATCTCTCCTGGAACTTCTTCCGCTGACTGGACACGCGGCCTGGATTGGGCGGATTTCCACACTGTGGCCGAGTGTGGCCATCCTCGCCACATCGAAAGCAATACCCTGGCTTAGGTGTAGATGAAGCTCCGTTGGTTGATTGTTTTGTAAATGCACTTTTATTCAATTTCTGATTAGTGTACCCAGATTGATACCGGAATGACGGACTATTCGTTGCTTGACCAGTAATAGCGGACAGTTGCTTCTGCATATCAGCCACTTGCTTGGCTAATTGCTGTGTAAGTGTGGTCAGTGCTGCAACTGGATCCACGCTGTTATCAGAACTGATCGCTTGATAATTCACTGCAGCTTTTTCTTTAGCTCCCCCTAGATGTTGTTTCATCCGTGCCACTTTTGCTGATTTCCGATCTTCTTCAGTTCGTAAGAGCAGAAGCAACTCTGCAAACGACGGCGGCTGGGATTTCTTTTGGGTCAATTGTAACTCAGAAATAAGCAAATTGTCCCAGCACCCTCTACAGAATTGATTTAATAGGTGCTTATTGGCTTCTGTCTCTAAAGCACCCCCCCTCTTGACTGCCAGATTCAATGAGACCTGTAATCTCTGCAGATATAGCAAAGGCAGCTCCCCTGAATCTTGGAAAGTATCCATAAACTTTGCGAATAACTCGTCTCCATCCTGTACTGTTCCAAAGCCACTGTCCAGCTGCTGTAAGTAGACAGTGGGCAGGGTATCTGTCCTCAAATGCTTAATCATATCTGCGGCAGGGGGCAAGAGGCTTTCCAAGATTTTTCGGGAACGTTGCAAATCTGATATGGCAGGGTCTTTCAAGATTAAATCGACACTAGAACGCCATGTGTCGTAGTCGGCCTCATGGGGGGATCTGGGTACTTTACCCGAGAACACTCGTAACTTTTGTGACGACATTGAATGAGCTAAATGATCATCACTCTTGACAATATGTTCGACAACATATCTTTGAACATCAGGAGGATTTATGTCAGCAGCCGAGAGGCTGGAGAGAGAAGGTCTTACTGATGGCTTTGTGGTTGGCTTTAGCCCTGCAACTGTGCCTCCGATTTGGACCATCATGTCTTGAAGGACTTCTGCAAAATCCTTTCCAGTTGCTTTAGCCAATTGCTTTAAGTCGGACAAGTAAGTCTGAGTCTTTGTAGCTCCTACGTCACTAGCATAAATGTCAGAGAGTGCAGATATCTTGTATTGAATATCTTTAGTAACTGCAGTAAACGTGTACGGTAATTTTGGGTAGAGAGCTGCAACCGCAGTTTTTGCCCGAAATTGAACGACAAAATGTTGATAATAATCTGAATTAATATCTTCTATTTTTGAAGTTTGAGCAATCGACCCATACTTTTTAAGGAACTCAAATAACTCCTCATCAGCTTCAGTGTTGGTGACACTGTCCACCAACACTGCCCGTGTAATGTCTACCTGCAGACCTTCAAACTCCTCCATAACAGATTACTGTAATAATATTTTTCAACCAGTGCAATGAAACAATAAAAGTAATATTTATTGATTACTGTAACACCTCCTGGCTAGCTGGCCACAAATTATGTAACCCCTATCCCATATATATATAGTGGAATGGTAGTAACAAAAGAGTCTGTAGGCTAGGACTGAAGATCTAGAGTTCGCTCTGGGAGGTGAGTCAGTAATCAATAAACAGTGGCTCCAGTTTGCAAGTTGGTGTATTATTACATATTTACATATTTACAGTCATGACATCTCAAATTCTCAAATACAACGCTGCGCAGAATTCTTCATTTCATTCGCTCACAAGTCCAAAGAAAAACCCCAAACCCGACTCAACTTCCCAAAGTCCAAACAATAGCCAGGGCTACTGTAAAAGTGTGTCCATTGAGCTCGTATTGCTCAAGAGTTTATATGAACCAGAGTGCATGGGGGTAAAGGGCCGATCTCCTACCGCATTGGTGGGGTACTTGCAGCAGTAGTTCTTGTCTGGGCTCAGCTCGCCATCAATAGTGATTCGATTCGGCCTCCCGACTCGATATCACAGCACAGAAAAGACCTGGCCAGTTCGAGGTGAACAATCCAGCCTGTCACTCACTCGAAACGGCTCGATCGCGTAAACTACTGCTGCAGCCCTAAACGCAGCCTCCCCCATGCCTCCCTGTACAAGCGACCCGCCATCTTTAAAACCCCAAGTCACATGACCCACGTGATCCCAAACTCCCTGGAGCCGGCGCCAGACCCAATGGAAATTTGGGACCATTTAGTTTTAATAATAATAATAATTTATAAAAATACATTGTGCACTGGTCTCCAATTGAACATATTTCCGATGACTTTTCATGAAATAAAGAACTGTGTCTGCACACGTCACTACAACAGGAAACACAGGCGGTCCATTTCCCTTCACTATATTCGATTAGATCTGACCTTTTATTGCATCTTTTCATGTCATATTCAAAATCCATTCTTCAATATTCTCCCAATTTGATTGTTGCCTGCGTTTCTTTCCTTGATAATGTGGTTAAACAAATGCAGCCAACGCAGGTTCCACTCCCTTTGACTTTACATGGCTCAATGAGAAGATTTAATATGCTGTGGAAAAGTATTGTACACAGGAAAGACAACAAAGCAACTGCCCTTTTTATGATCTAATCAAGGTTTATTAATTTTCCATTCCATCCATAAATCTCTCATCCAACCTCAAACACGAGCTACCGTAATTGAACTGTGCCTTTCACAATCAGAGCTAACCAAATATATGTTTTTCATTTAATAGACACATTTTCTGTCACATATTAAAAAGCTCAAGTCTATGATTAACATAGTGTTTACTCCTCTCCATTTACGTGGCCATGTCTGTTTTGAGGATGTGGTGAAAATACTCTGTAGCTGACCTCAGAGAGTGACTGAGCAATACAGATCTGGATGTCCTGGGTTTCATGTCTTCGGCTGAGGCTGGGTAATTAATCAAAGTTTTATTTAATTATCTAATTACTTGCAGATAGCAGTTGGCTCAACGACCAAGACCATGATGGCAACATAGTTGAACTATTTAGTGTCCATGCATTAAAAGGAGTTTAAAAATTAATTCTTAATGAACAATACAGTAAAAAACATTTTTTGTGGTTTTATTTGTCACACTAGGACGACGGTCCACAAAAGTACAGAAAAAGATTTCAGTAAATAGTAACTACAATTGGAGAAGTGTGAAAGCGTCAGCACTAGATACTGTAGAGCAGTGTCTCCCAAAGTGGGGTCCGCGGCCCCCTGGTGGGCCGCGAGGGTACTGCAGGGGGTCCGCGGGAGGTCATAAAAAAAAAAAAAAAAAAAGAATTATTTAATGTTAAATTTATAATGTTTTGTTTGTAATATTAAAATATTTGTGTTCATTATTTGACTTGAATAATCCACTGTAATCATTTTTGTATTACAATGTTTGTAGCAGAGGCTATTTCCCCAAAATAAAATAACCAGAAGAGCCTATTCTTAATGTTGTCTTCTTGGTTATTATTTTGGGGGGGCCACGCAGACCCGTCAGATTTTTAAGGGGGCCTCGGTGTTACTGAGTTTGGGAATGGCTGCTGTAGAGTATCACGGGAGTGAGGTGAACTGCATTCATGGGCGCTTATCTCCTGCAAAAATGGAAAGGCCAGAGAAACGGTTTCTTCCCACACCTGTCACAGTGATCTTTAGTGAATGTTTGTACATTGAACGAGGCCTATTAGAAAATATTGTTTTGCAGATTTATTAAAATACACTTTACTTTGGGCTAAAATGTTCAATGCAGCTTCTTACATTTTGTGCTCTTAGCCCCCGCTCACCAGTGACTGTCATGTCTCTACAACTGATGTGTAATTAGTTTATTTTTATTTTATTCATATACCAAATAAATCATTAATGACCTCATAGTTTATACAGGTAATGTAATGTAAGTGCATTACATTACATTAGCTGTATCCTTTAAATACTAAATAAACTATTGTCTGTCCGGGCCATGCCGCGTTGACAGGAATGCTCACCTCTTGCTGAAACCATACATTGTTATACAGTCTGTTCGCCTTCGGAGCCGTCAGACACATGGAACACAATGCACTACTTCCTTCCTGCATTTTTCACTCAACATCCTCAGTATATGAAGCTATGACGAGCAACCAACCAGCCAGATATTTCCACATACAAATATCTTAAGATACAATTGCTTTTGCAGTTAACTACAGCCATCTCCAAGGTTGACCTGGGCTATTGTAATGTCCAGTGGAACTTCATCCTGCTCCGACAGATGCTTTCCTCCACAGGTTCAAAAGAGGACAATCTAGGGACTAAATACTGCTACAAAATGATAGCATATTATTAGTAGAGGTTGATGACTCACTCACTAACCAATAGCGACAGGGATAAGTGTCTGGAGACAGGGCAGCAGTACAGAGAAGCACTGTAAGAATTTACCACCAACATCCTTTTACAATCTCAATAGCCTTTTTAATATACCATACATTGAACATGTATCAACAAGAAGTATTGTTTGTTTTCCTCCCGTTTCTTTTTTTTTTTTACCAAGAGCTGATGGAGCACTAAATAGAGAAAATGTGCAAACAAAATTAATGTTGTTCCAGGAGTCTAATAACAATAAATATTCTATCTAGTGCAATGAACAATTATTTCTAGCTAGGCTAAAAGGTATTATATAAATAGTAGAGCTGTCAAACGATTAACTCATGATTAATCACATTTTTAACATTCTATTTAAAATCCACTCCAACTGAAGTTAAATGAGATGTAATGACACAGTGTCATTCATACCAAATGGAGGTGGGAACCGCTCTCCAGAGCGGCCACAGCTGCCCCGGGTCAGAACGCTGCAGCCAGGGAGGATGCGAACTTCAGTTCATACAGCAAATAACAGCAAGTGCCCCGCGGTCACGTGCGTATTCTTTTAAAACTCGGTTTCCTAGAGACCTGCTCTGTTGCCATCTCACACACGCATGTGTCCGCGGCATTCTGAATTTTTTTTTTTTAAAGTAAAAATGTAAATTATTGTGCGTTAACGCGATAATTTTGACAGCCCTCATAAATAGACAGATTGTTACAGCCTTACACTTCAATAATAGTCATTATTGAACCATATGATACTAAAAAGTGCGCAGACCTACCAATAGTCAGTGTCATGTTTGCTTAGTTGCTTGTTAAGACTGTAATATGTCAACAAAGTGCCTTCAAGCGACAACTGAATACTTACATTAATTGAAAGGGTTAGGGAAAAATTCTTTCAATTATTCTTTAAAGAACAATGTTCATGCACTTCATTAAAAGGTCTTCAAATAGACAATGAGGCGTCTGCAGCGCGAGTGCTGCTGCTGCTGCAGACAAATGCCCATTGTAAAGATCACAGAGTTCCCGTTTCTCTGAGTCTGGAGCCTGGACACGACTGGGCCTAGTGGTCAGAGGGAGACTGGGGACAGACACCTGAGGCCACTGCTCACATTACACCTCGCCGGTCTTGGCTTTACTGAGATAACCAAGAACGCTACTATCAAATTATCCCAAACAATAACATTCTTTTAAAACACAACCTCATGAAAACATATGACCTGCAAGAAATAAAGAGCACCAATAATTAAACCAGTTACTGGGCTCTAAATAAATATAGAGCCCAAAAACAAAATTCTGTTACAGCAATGGTTTGTTGACAGTATAGTACTTATTGTGACAATCTAATTTGTGAAGTAAATGCAAACAGAAACTTTTAAACTACTTTGACTTTGACTGGAAACATCCAAAGCGATGCAGGCTGTATCTACAGACACGGCGTAAACCAAGTATTGGCAACTATAGCATGACATCCAGACCTCACTGAACTTCTACAGCCCTACAGTCCCTCCCGTCGACTCCGATCTGCAGACTCTCCTCACTCACACTGTCAAATCCAAGCACCGAACCTTGGGGGACCGAGCTTTCGCCATCTCTGCTCCCACTCTCTGGAACGCTCTCCCTCCTCATCTCAGACTCACTAAACTCCTTCAAAAAACAGCTAAAAACTCCCCTCTTCCTCTAAGCATATGACTCTTAGTTTCTTTTAGATTTTTGTATGTGTATGTATGTGTGTGGGTGTCCTGAATTGTGAAGCGTCTGAGTTTTTGAAAAGCGCTATATAAAATCAATGTATTATTATTAGAGTGTTTAAGTGACTCTTGGACAGAGGACAGAGCAGGTGCCTCTGCCAGGAGGACTGACACAACTCTTTGTACGACGTATTTGGAAAACTTTAGAAAGGACCGCAATTGCAATGGATGGGCTAAACATGGGCCAACGAAGAATTTCATACAGTTTTGCTGATTAGGGCTGCAAGATTAATAACAATCGCATTATTACTGGTGGCAATTAGCAAATTGCAACATACCGGTTGTAAACAACACATTGACCACCGAGTCTCAGAGTAACATAACTAAAAGCCACTTCTTGGACTTAAACTTCCCAGATCGCTAATTTGATCTAAAATATATTAATAAAAGAAATTATGTTTATTATTTCTTGCATGTTCAGAAATGTATAAGATTGTCTGTTAGTTTGACAGCTCATAAACTGAAAAATACAAAATTGTAATTTAATCGTAAACACAATATTTGTCAGAAAAAACTGAATTCGATATTTTGCCAGAATTGTGCACACGTTTCGCTAATGTCCACATCCACTGACACAAGGCCATTTAATTAGGTCCCCAAGCGAAACATAATGTGCTCCCTTCAGAGACAAATGAAAGAGAGACGAGTGGCACAGATCAGATTAGAGGAGACGGTTCTGAACACGGCTTCTTACGCCAAACTCCACCACAGACGATCAAACCAACTGCAGCCAAAGAGCACCAACTAAAGTCTCTGGGAGGATTATTGCTGTCACATCAATAAAAAAGTTAAAAACAACCATATGTAGCCTTCGCTCTTACCGTTTCAATGAAAAGGTATTACAATACCTTTTCCAAATTGGACAACCAAATTGTTGTCCATGTTTTACCATTCTGTTGTGGCTGCTGTTCTCTTCTATGCTGTCATTAGTTGGGGCAACAATATATCGGTCAAAAACCGTAACAGGCTGGACAAACTGGTTAAGAGGGCGGGGTCAGTGGTTGGGGGGTCACTGGA